TACCCCGGGGAGAAGCCAGCTCTGCGCCTCCCTGCTGTGCGCCCTTGGGCAAACCGGGCCCCCTCTCTGGGCCTCAGTCTCCTCATGTGTACCAAGAGGGGACTGTCCTTATATTTGCAGCCCGTTTCAGCTTCTACCACTGTCAAGGCTGCCCACCCCACGCTGGCTCATGCTCTCCCTCCCTCCCCCTGCCAAAAAGAGGAAAGGAAACTTGCGTTAGGCGTCCGGGGAGGGAGCGAGGCTAGGAGCCGGCAGGCTGCGCGGGTTGTTGCCGGGTGAGCAAACCTCACACAAATCCCAGGACAGAAAAGCCCCACCTCCCCAGTAACCGGAGCAACCCGGGCCACGCCTCCTGCAGCCCAAACACAGCCCGAGGACCCGCCAAGGACCACCCTCGTTGCCGGGTGAGCAAACCTCACACAAATCCCAGGACAGAAAAGCCCCACCTCCCCAGTAACCAGAGCAACCCGGGCCACGCCTCCTCCAGCCCAAACACAGCCCGAGGACCCGCCAAGGACCACCCTCGGCCTCCCCCGGCACCCCTCCCAACCCTGCCACCAGCCCCAGCTGGACAGAGAAAAAGCCAACGCCCCCATTGCGTGGAGGTGGAGACTGAGGCCGGAGGGTGGAGATTGCGAAACCCCGCGGCCGGAGGGGTTTGGACTGGGTCCCTGATCGCCCGTCCGGGGCTGCCTCCCATTCCCGGAGCGGCGATCTGTCTCCTTCCCCTGCGTTTGGGGTTTCCACGTGGGAGAGACCGAAAGCAGCGCTGCCCTTGTGGAGCACAGCCTACCGGCGCTGTCCACTCTCCCTCCCCATTCTCCCGACCGAGAAACTGAGACCCAGTGAGGGGCCGGCACCCGAACGGACCCACCGCGAGCCCCTCCCGCCTCTTACCTGCCGGCGGCCGCCGCGCGCGGGTGGTTTCCTGGAGTTGAGCGGCAAACAAAGGCCTCCAATCCCGGGGCGGGGCGGGGCCGCGGCCTCTTTGCATAATCTCCGAGGAGGTGGCCAATGGAGGCGGGGCCTCGGGAAGCTCCACCAATCGCGGAGAGGCTGTCGCCTGAGACCCGCCCCCAGGGAGTCGGAAGCTGGGGAGCCGGGCCTGCGCTCCAGGATTGAAAATCTCAAATACGGGATCTCCTGGGATCACCCTGCTGGAATCTTCCCGACCGCAGACAGGGAGACTGAGGCCAGGAGGGTCAGACATTTGTGCACGGTCGCTCAGAGTCACAGTGAGGAAGAAATCACAAACTTTTATGCCTGAAACATACTGCTTACTACGACTACTAATTTTTTCTTGAGCACTAATTGTATGTTCCCTATTGTAACATCAGGCACTGTTGTATGTTCCCACAATGCTCAGTCCTCTCTTATGAGCATAATGTTAACCTAATATGAGGTGGGTAGGTATATTATCAGTAACCCCAAGTATTTTCTACTCCCAACTCCCATTAGACAAGCACGCAAACCCAGGCCGTGAGACCGGCAGGAACTTGCTCAAGGGCGCGCAGTAAGTACAGGACAGGAGTAATCCATTGTCCACCAAACGCTCACCTTGAAGAATGGCGGTGCACCGTGTCAAACTGACCCAGGCTCTTGCCCCAGTTCTGCCATTTGCTACCACTGAACTTAAGGCAAGTAGGATTTATTACCCCCACCTTATGGGGTTGCTAAGGGGACTAAGTAAACATAGCACCAGGCCAATAAGAAAGAAATCAATAACATTAATTTAAAAAGTACCTTGACCAACCCTATTACGCAGGGGGGTTAATAGGCCTCAGGGCAGGAAGTGACTCATTCAGCTGCATTGCAGCCCAGTTCTTCCTCCGGACAGAGAACTCTTCCCCGTTCCTCAGGTTGCCAGTTACTTCCTATACATGTCTTGTAGTAATCATGCAGCAGCCTCTATTCATGAAGGGCCTACTCTGTGCCAGGGGCAAACATTTTAGCTAATCCTTACAATAACCTACAAGTTAGGTTAATATTATACTTCCCATTTAAAGATGAGCAAACTGAGGTTCAGAGGTGTTAAATGACTCTCCCAAGGTCACACAGCCAGGGCATGGTGAAGGTAGAATTTGAGCCCCCAAGTCTGACTCTGCAGTGTGGACTCTCTGAGCTTTGCCTTATACTCTGTTCTTGTATACCCCTCTCATCCCACTTCTTCCCAGGCAGAGAGGATTCCAGGTGATTTGCAGGCCAACTCAGCACTTGTCTGGGCAGGATTACACTCCCAGGAGCCAAAAACTCTCCCTCTTCCTGCCCTCTCCTACATCGAACTTCTGGCCCTGGAGAAGGGCCCAAGGCATGTATTCACACTGTCATGGAAGTGAACCATGTCCCTGGAGTTGAGCAGCATGGCAGTCCCGTCTGAAAGACTCTTGAAAAGAAAGGGAAACTGAGGCTTGGTGAGGTACATACCTGCCCAGAACCTGCTTAGGGTAATCCAGTAGGGAGGAGCAGACCCTGAGACTCTGCAGCCATTCTCCCTACCCCCACCACACTATGGCATCATGAATAAAGATGTCAGGCCCACAGGTACATGTGGCCAGGGTAGACCTCTGACATCTGCCCCCCAGCCCCACCCCAGTACTCAAAGTTGCCTTAGCCCACCATACTGGGCCCTTTCAAAAGCCACCAGGACAGGTGTTTGTCCTGGGGCTTCAGGCTATGGAAAGGGCAGGCCTAAGCCTCAAGCAGCTGTGGTCCAAACTTGTACTCCCTAGCTGTGTGACTTTGAGCAAGCAACTTGTCCTTTCTAAGCCCATTTGCAAAATAATTTATTTTAGGTTTAAAATTCCACATGTAGGGGTACCCTCTCACCCCATGGGCTTCAGCTCAGAGTCAGGCCCAGGAATTCCAGAAGCAACAGTTCTAGAAACTCATTCTTGCCCTACACTTTTCAGGGTGCAAACATGGAGCCCTGGGTAGCAGCTGTTGGGCCCTCTGTCCCCTGGGGACTTTACAGAGTGGGGAGATGGCTGGTTCAAGGCAAGGGCAGTCACAACCTGCCCTGGAGTTCACAGAGCAGGTCAATGACTGGCCTAAAATTCACATAGCAAGCCAGTGATGGCCAGAAGCTTTCCGTTCAGAACAGACACTTGAGAACTTGTGTGTGGGGAGATGGCTGGTTCAAGGCAAGGGCAGTCACAACCTGCCCTGGAGTTCACAGAGCAGATCAATGACTGGCCTAAAATTCACATAGCAAGCCAGTGATGGCCAGAAGCTTTCCGTTCAGAACAGACACTTGAGAACTTGTGCCTGGAAAAGGTGTGGCATTCTGCCATCATCCTCATCATGCAGTCCTCTCCCAGGGCCAACCCTGAGCCTGCGGCTCTGGCCCCAGGGAGCATCCCTACCTCCATTAGAGGGAAGTCCCCACTGCATTAGTTTCCTCTGCTACTGTGACTACCACACGCCTAGGGGCTTAGAACACCACAAATTTCTACTTTTACAGAGAGAGGACAGCAGTCCTAAATCAGTCTCACGGGACTGAAGTCAAGTGTCAACAGGGCAGGTTCCTTCTGGAGGCTCTGAGGGGAGAACCCACTTCCTCGGCCTTTCCAGCTTCTAGAGGCCGCCTGCATTCCTTGGCTCATGGCTCCTTCCTCCACCCTCAAAGCACATTGCTTCAGCCTCTGCTTCCATATGACAGCACCCCTCTTCCTCTGCTGTGTCAAATCTTCCTCTGCCTTCCTCTTATAAGGACCCTGTGATACACTGGGCCCACCCCATCTCAAGACTTAACTTAATTGCATCTGCAAAGTCCCTTTTACCACATAAGGTAACAGTCACAAGTTCCAGGAATTAGAATCCAGATATTTTGGGGGCCATCATTTAGCCTACCAAAGCCATTTTACAGATGGGGAACTTGAGACTCAGAGTACTGAAATCACTTGCCTGAGACCACACAAGATTTGAATTGGAGTCTGATGCCAAGAGATCTGAGCCCTCCTGCAGCCAGGTGGGGACATTCCCTGCAGAGGTAACAGAACCCTGTGCATGTAGGGATATGGGGTGGGGGGTGGGGGGAGCCTTAGGAATACCAGCTGCCTTGGGGGAATCCATGGCTCTGGCCTCAGGTGGTCTGCCCAGCAGGAAAGAGAACAGGGACAGCTAAGAGCAGGATCTGGCACAAGACCATGGAACCAACTGCCCCCTAACCCACCTCTGGCAGACTCTGAACACAGGGCTGAGCAGAGCAGGACTTAAACTCTTCTTCCACCAGACAAATCTTAGGGGCAGAAGGAAATGGGCATTGGGGCTGGCACTGAGGCCATATCACAGACCAATTTTTGACACTGTCCCCTCCTTTCCCTCCCTATGTGTTTTGCTTCTAACACCCACTGCCCTTGGCAACGGGAACGGCTAGGACTGCACAGGAAGAGTGGGAAGTGATTGGGAATTTACTGCCTCTTCCCCAGGCCTTGTCCCAAGATTGACAGGCATGAAAGCCTAGCCCCAGGCCTTCAGTGGAGACAACTCTGCCCCACCTTCCACTCCAGGGTCCCCCTTGGGATCAGGCTGACGCAGTCCTCCCTGGACTTTGCCTCAACACCCTTGCTTGGCTTCCTCCCCTTCCCTGTCCTGCTGCCCACTCCCTTTCTCGTCTCCCCTGAACCCTTCCTTCATGAATCACCAGCATACAAATCCTCCTCTCAGAGTCAGTTCTGGAAGCTGATCTGAGACAGGCCCATGTCTGTGTTTTAGAAATATTCACGCACACTGTGCATTCCGCCTCATGACATACCCCTGTGTTTTAATCTAAAAGCATTATCTCTAAATACTTGAGTTTCACCCTCAAACCTTCAAGTAAGGTGTGCCAGGCTGCGGGTGTGGCTCGAGCGCCCCCGCATACCCCAGCACGTATCCCAAATTGAGCCATGGGGGCAGGTGAGAGGGTGGTGGTGAGTGATGCTCTCTCCTACCCACCCCGCTCCACATGGAGCAGTCAAACCCCAGCCACACAGGCAGACCACACAGCATGCCACCCCTAATCTTGTTCAGATTTCTTTATTGAAAAATTAAAGTCATAAGCTCTGTATATAAATACACTGACGTTGCTGGTCACCTGCAAGGCCTCTGGGGCTGGGGACACGGTGGAAAGCTGGGAGGGAAATAAATAATAAATACCACGGGGAATAAGGAATCAGGAGGATTGGGGTGTGAAGGGGGGTTGTTTGATGCTTATTTGTGGCACTAAAGGTCCTGCAAGATGCCCCCGGGTGGGGGGCCGTGTCCATGAATCCTCATGTGACTTTGCTCCAGGCAAAGGCTCCGACATCTGAGGACGGGCTGGGTCCTAGCTGGCTAGGGGGCAGCAGGTCCCCCACCCAACCTGGAGAAACAAGTGCTTCGCCCTTCCACTTCCTTTCTTCCCTCCCCACAGCCCCACTTGTAGAGCACCTACTGTGTACTCGGCATGCACCAGCTCCTGGCCTGACCTTCTATTTGCCTTGCCCGGCTCTCTTTTCCCAGTTCTGGTCCAGGGGACCAGGATGGATAAGGGGATATCTTCCGGTTACCCTAGCTATGCAGCCCCAACCCCTCAAGGAGACTAATCGTGCCAGGAGAGGGGAGGGACTGGGACCAGAGGCTGGGCAGCGGTGGGAGACCCTCAGGCCTTGACTCCTAGAGCATCACATTGAACTCAGTGACCAGAAAGTCAATGTAGTCACGATCCTTGGTCTTGAAGGCCTCGGCGATGATGCGGGCAGCCTCCCGATGCTCCTTGCCCCGAAGCGTCAGCCCATTCACTTCCAGGATCACGTGGCCCACCTTGAGCTGCCCACAGTTGTGGGCCGAGCCGCCTCGCTGCAGGGGTGAGACATAGGGTGGGGGTCACATGGGGCATCTGAGCATTGGGTGGGCCTGGCTTTGACCATCCACTGGGTCAGGCCTGACACTGCCAACCAGGAAGCCACAGTCTGGGTATCTACTGCCCTGATTAGGAAAACCGAGGCTCAGCAGAGCAAAGGTGATATGAGCCTGGGTCTGCCCTTGGGTGCTGTGTCATCTCTGGGGTGGCAAAACCCTGGGGATGCTGAGAAAGGGGCCTTCAGGGGTAGGGAGAGATTGTCAAACAGGACCTTCGGGACATACCTGAATTGTGACAATCCTAGGCAGGGGCTGGCGGGTATTGGCACCACCTTCGATGGCGATGCCCAGGGTGGCCGCACTTTTCTTCACACGGACGAGGGTGGACGTGGGCTCCAGGAGTCCAGGCTGTGGGTGTGAGGAAGGAGACTACTGAGGCCTTCTCCGTGGACAGGCCTGGACAGGGGGCTGGGCCATGACATGTCCCTGGGCCAACAGCGCTCAGACTCCAGCCCCAAGCTGGGAGCTTTGCCAGGCATGAAGCTAAGCAATTTAATCCCTACAAAAATCCCCCCTGAAGCTCAGGAGGTTAAGGGAAATGCCCAGGCTGCCTGGTGTTGGCATCAGGACTTGAATCCAGGTCTGACTCCAAGGACTGAGTCAGCCACTGAGCCACATCAGAACTGAGGGGACCTCAAAGATTCTGAAGCTAAACCGTTAGCTCTCAGCTACCTGGTATCAGTGGTGAAGGCAGGGCTTAACTGGAGCATCCAGATCCTTCTGGATACCCAAATCCCTGCAGTGATGGGGGGCTCACTCCCTCTGATGGTGGTCACTTGCCAAGCTGAATCCTGGTCCCTGGATTCAGCCCTCTGCACCCCCCTCCTCCTTGCTCACCGGTTTGTTGGTCCCCTCTGTGGGCCTCTCATTCCGAGGCAGCTCCTTGCTATTCCTGCTCTTGGTGGACGCTGTCTGTCTGCCTCGGCCTGGGGCGCTGGCCTCTGCCTCACCGGCGTCCACACCACTGTCCTCACTTAGAGTCTGCCCGCTGTCTGAGAGCTGGGAGAGCGTGGAGGCTGCTGAGAGGGGGGCAGGAAGAAAGCGGCAGTTTATACAGCTGAGGTCAGGGAAGGCTTCCCAGAGGCGGTGATGGAGCTGGAGGCTGGAAGGCTGGGGGATTTCCCCAGGCAAAGATGGAGGGAGGGAGGAAGGGATCGTGGGGCTGGAGGGTAGGGAGAATCCCTCCCATCCTCTCCACCTACTGAAGACCTGCCCTTCCAACCAGACCTGGCACAAAGGCCATCACTTCCAGGACATCTACCTTGACCTCCCAGTTCCCAGCCACAGGCATAATGACTAAAACAGAGGTCAAGAAGCAAACCCAGACCACAGATGTGGGTTTGTTTTGTTTTAAACTTAATGCTATCAATTTTTAATGAGGGACTGACACATTCAAATTAAGAGATTTTACATAATAATTAAATTTCTAGATTCCCAAGAAAAAAATAAGGGAAGGTCTGCCGCACCTGGCCTGTACCTCTGCATAATCCCAACTGCCCTGAGCTGAGTTTTGGGCACATGCCCTCTAAGTCACTGGTCACCAAGCTGCTTCACTATGTGTGGAATGGCCAGACCCCTGAGTCTGAGACCCTGGGTTAAGAACATGCACTCTGGAGGCTGGCAGGCCAGGTTGGAATCCCCACTGACCTCTGCAAGCCTGGGCAAGTAACACAGCCGTCCTGAGCCTCCTGTGTTCTCCTGTTAACACAGGAGCAATGATGCCTAGCTAATGGGTTTATCATAAAGACTAACAGACACAATGTACAGAGTGAAGCAGTCAAGAGAACAGACTTGTGCTAGATTGCCTAGCTCCACAATTACTTCCTGTGCCTCAGTTTCTTTATCTGTAAAATGGGGATAATAATAGTGCCAGCATCATAGGGCTGTTGGGAGGATAAAATGAGTTCATAATATAGGCAAGGCCCCTAGAACAGCGTCTGGCACATAGAAAGTGATTGTTGTTCATACAGCGGTTAGCTCTTGCTGTCACAAGTGCATGCAGCTCTGTGCCAGGTCTAGTAGCAGCGCATCAATCTGCAACAGCTCTGGTTTCTTTCCCCCCATCCTGCTTGCTCTCCCTGAGCTGCCTCCCCTCACTGAGCCACTGATGCAGGGACCTTGCATCCTGCATCCCAGTCTGTGAACTGCCTGGCACACAGCAGGCACTCAGGTAATGTCCCCATCCCCTGACTCAGCCTACTGCCTTCCCTGGCCACAGTGGGCCCCACATATCACTGTAGCCACAAGATGGCAGCAGAACCCAACAAAAGGTATCCAAACTCGCTCCATCTGGAGCTCCAGAGCTTTTTGGGCAGGGAAAGCTGGCTCTACCCTTCCGTCTACCTTCTCGCTGGACTTCCCCTGGAAAATCAGGGGCCATGGCCTCAGGCTGGCCTCCCAGGTATCTGAAAGATTCTTCCCGCACTCTGACCCGGCAGCCCCACATCAGGAGACATGCCAGGACTCCAGAGGCTGCAACTTCAATGCCCACCTGCTCCTCAGCATCTACTCTGTGCCAGGTGCTGGGCACAGGGATGACAGAAGCCATCCTTGCCCTCAGCCAGCTCAGTCATATTGGGAGACTAGAAGGTGAATGCAGGGTGGCCAGGGCTGGGGTGGCTATAGGAGGCAACCCAACCCTCACAGCAATCTGGCAGGGTGGTCCCTGCTATATCCACATTGTGACGGAGAAAGTGAGGCTGAGACAGGCAGAATAGCTGTCCAGAAATGTGCCCAGTTAATAGCAGAGCGGGGATTCAAACTTGGCTCTCTGACTCTAAAGCCACCTTCATACTGGACTCGGTGCTGTTCCCCTGGTCACTCACCCCGAGCCAGGGAACGTCTGGGCTAGGCCCCTCGGCGAGCACCTAGCCTTACCCTTTGCTGTGTAGAGGGGTAGGTCAGAGAGGACAGGGACCTTCCAGAATCACAGAGCCTGGGCACCTGGGCCCAGCCCCAGCCCAGGGTCCGCGGTACTCACTGCGCGTCTGGGGCAGCGCCCTCACTTCGTTCACATCTGGCTCGCTGTCGGGGCGGTGCACCTCCACCATGACAAAGTGCTGGTTTGTGCCTGTCTGCTCTGGATGGCCAGAGGACAAGGGGGGCAGAAGGCAGCCCCCAGCCACCGGGGCCTCTGCAGGGGGGCTTTTCAGGTGTGGGGGTGACTGGACCCGAGGGAAGGGGCCAATGGGGTGCTGGTTGACTAAGGCTAGATGGGTGTCCAGTGGCCTCTTGGAGCCAGGTTTGGCAGGGGAGACAGAGGCGTAGATGGGGGAGGGGGGCGAGTCCTGTGTGGAGGAAGTCCCTGGAGTGGGTGCGGCGCCCATCGGCGGGCTGCAGTTCCGTGGAGCCGAGAAGACGATGCCTGAGTGGGAAGACGCAGAGGAAGGTGGCTGGAGGTCCTCTCTCCCTGGCTTCCTTGGCTGGCCGAGTGGGCAGTCGTGGCCTTGGGCCAGAGGTGGCGGTGGAGGCGGTGGCTGGAAGCTACGCAGCCCCTCAGAGGTGGATTTGACATCATCCTGCCAAAAGACCCAACAGGAGTAGAAGGAGTCAGAGCCCATGGTGCTGGAAGGGGGGAGGCCCGTGCAGCCGAGCAGCGCCAGGCCCCGGCTGGTATTCTGTCCCTGCTCTGTCAGCTCTTGGCCATGCTGCTCTGAATAATGCAACACCCGAGTGGAAAACTTCTCCCCAGCATCTCAGCAGCTGATAAGTATCGGGATCTTGGCGGGCGTCTCGGGACGGCATCATTACCTTTGGGAATTGTTCTCAGCGTCAGCCAGGGAACAAGACTTAATTAGAGGCAGGGTGAAGAGAATGGAAACATAAAAAAGGCATTTTTTTGGCTTTTCTTTTTAAGGGATTATCTTGGCGACTAGAGATGGGAGGTGTGATAGGACTAGAGGGAGAGGGAATGGACAGAAGGAGATACATGGGGGCTGGGTTGCTGTGTGGCCCTGGGCAAGGCACAGCACCTCTCTGAGCATGCCTCTGGGCCATGGAGAAAAGTACACCTACCCAGCAGAGCTGACATGAGGTACTGCACATGGGACGTGTTAGCAGGGGGCCTGCGACACAGCAAGTGCATGGAGAGCGGTGGCTGTGAGCACTATGGGGACTATTCCCCTCTGTCTAGACCAACACCCAACACTTGCATAGCTCTGACAGCATTACGGGCACTGTTCTAAATGCTTTACTTAAATTCATTGATTTACCCCTTGCCACAAACGTATGGGGTAGCTATTATCATCCCCATTTTACAGATGGGAAAACTGAGGCACAGAGAGTCTAAGAAACCTGCCCAAAGTCTCACGGTCAGTGGCGGAAGTGGGGTTTGAACCCAGGCAGCCTGGCTTCAGAGTCTAGCCCATTCAAAAGCTTTTTGGATCAGAATCACAGGAGTATGATGTCACATTTAGCTTCCATTTCTGGCCCAAGAAATGAAGAGTCATATGGTCTCTTGAAAGAGGGCTCTCCACACGCTCCAGGTGTCAGTACTTGCTATTACAATGTTCAGATCACATAACATATCAGAACTGAGCACCAACTCGCCCAACAGGCCATGGCTAGTCAGCCTTGCCTAAAACCACCAGGAGCTAGCCATCCTGGCCTCTGCTAGAGATAGCAGAGTGGTGCACTGTGTGCAGACGTGTAGCTGAGTCAAAGAGCTCACAGCAGGGACCTCTGTCTTCTCCCTGTGGCTGTCACCAAGAGGAGTGAGTACCCAGCGCCTTAGCAGACCAGGAAGGGCAGAACACAAGTAAAGAGCCAGCCAGGGCCTTACCACGGACACATCTGGGAGGGTGTTGACGTTGCCCTGGACAGCCTCACCAGTTTCTTCCAGGTCCAGAGTTTTCTAGAATGAACAAGAAAGCAAGGTGAGCAGCAGAAGCCAAGAGGGGAAAACCAGTTTGTTTTTCAGGACACCAAAATGCAGGAGGCCTGATGACATCTTCATGTGTTTCATGTGACTTCTGACATACCAACTCTGTCAGAATTTACTTTGCCCATTAAAATTATGCTGTTTTCTTACTGGTCACTTTGAAGTTAATTTTTCTTTGGGACTTCCTATTTTCAGGCCTCCCCCTAACTACCTGGAGATACTGGGGGAAGTGATCTCTGGCTGAGACTGGGAATTCCTGGATTCAGCCCCAAGTGCCCAACATACTCAAGCCTCCAAAACCCAAGGCCCCCCTCCACTGCTCGTGGACAGATCCCAGGAAGGTATGAGAATGGCAAGCTGCAAGTGAGGAGTGGATGGGGAAAGGCTCTCTCTTTTTTAATTTTAATGATGTTAATCCTGAGGGAGTGGTTTAAGGTTTAAGTGGGCCTAATTTTGCAAAAATGTCCATTTCTTCCTTCCTTCCCCAATGCATGGGAAGAAGCCCAGTGCTTCATTCAGTGACACTGAGCTGCCAAAGGCTATTTCTGGGCCATCTCTGGGTGGCTGAACAGAGCTCCTCTCTGAGCTGGGCCCTCCTGAGAGCTAAGGGGAGCATTTCTCTCCAGCCCACAGAGCCCAGGATGGCAATGAATGTCTGCCACCATGATGGTTAATTTTATGTGTCAACTTGACTGGCCTAAGGGACGCCCAGATAGCTGGTAAAACATTATTTCTGGGTATGTCTGTGAGGGTGTTTCTAGAGGACATTAGCATTTGAATTGGCAGACTGAGTAAAGGTTACCCTCTCCAACGTGGGTTGGCATCATCCAATCTGTTAAGGACCTGAGCAGAACAAAAAAGCAGAAGAAGGAGAATGTGCTTCTCTTCTGAAGCTGGGACATCCATCTTCTCCTGCCCTCAGACATCAGTGCTCCTGGTTCTCGGGCCTTTGGACTTGGACTGGAACTAAACCACCCGCTTTCCTGGGCCTCCAGCTTGCAGACGGCAGATTGTGGGACTTCTCAGCCTCCATAACTGTGTGAGCCAATCCCTCACTATATATACATACATATCCTATTGGTTCTCTTTCTCTGGAGGACTGTGACTAATACAGCCAACACCTGGTTCAAGTCTCAAGTGCAGCAATGAATACTAAGCAGTCTCTGAAGCTCCAGACTGACAAGGGGCTGGGGACACAGAGGTGGTGAGACACTGCCCCTCCCTCCAGGATCTTAGAGACAGTGGGGTTGTCTGACAAGCAAACAAGCACAAGCAGACTGTGCAGAGAACATCGGGTGGACAAACATACTCCAGACTGACAAGGGGCTGGGGACACAGAGGTGGTGAGACACTGCCCCTCCCTCCAGGAGCTTAGAGACAGTGGGGTTGTCTGACAAGCAAACAAGCACAAGCAGACTGTGCAGAGAACATCGGGTGGACAAACATAGGCATATAATGCAGCTGGGTGAGGGGGTTATCAAGGAAGCCTTCCTGGAGGGGACATGGCTCAAAGCTGAGTCTCATGGGTGAGGAGGGCAAAGAAGGGAACAATGGGTTCTTCAGAGGGAAGGGTGTCCACAAAGCCGGAAGGAGACAGAACGTTTGAGAATCTTCGAGCAGGTCCATGTGAGTCAAGCGTGGAGCTGCTTGGACTTGAGCCTGAGGGCAGTGGGTTGCTATGGAGACGTGATCAACTTTGCCTTCTATGAAGATCCCCCTTGCTTGCATCCTCTCCAGCTGCACTGGAACACTGCATGCGTGTCAGGGCCTTCACACTGGCTGTTGCCTCGGCCTGGAACACTCTCCTCCCCAGCTATGCATGGGCTTGCTCTGTTTGCTCGCCTCCTTCAAGACCCTGCTCACCTCCATGAGGTCCAGTCAGACCACCCCACCTAAACTTGCAGCCCCCATCCCTCTGCCCTGCTCTATTTTTCTCCTTCTCACTGATCACTCTACTCTACCCAACAGCCAGGACGTGATCCTTGAAACATGAGTCAGGTCATGATAACCCCTTGGGAACTTTTCATCTTACTTGGAGGAAATTCCAACGTCCACATTCATTGTGCCTAGTAACTGGGCCTTTTCTTGCTTCTCCTCCAACATGATGGGATTTTTCCTACCTCAGGGCCTTTGCACTGGCTGCTCTCTCTTCCTGCACCATGCTCGCAGTTCATTCCCTCACTTTGTTAAGTTCTGACCTCAGCAAGGCCTTCCCAGACGAGCCCTGTCTAAAACAGCACCATCCCAGTTTATCCCGACCCCACTTTGTTTTCCTACATAACATTTATTGTGACCTGACATTACAGTAGACCCCCCATATCCATGGTTCCACTTTCTGCAGTTTCAGTTACCTGTGGTCAACCATGGCCCAAAAATATTACGTGGAAAATTCCAGAAATAAACCATTCATAAGTTTTCTATAGTTACACACCATTCTGAGTAGCACAATGGAATCTTGTGCCACCCTGCTCCGTCCTGCCCGTCCAGCTCATCTACACTGTCTACGCCACCTACCTGTCAGTCACTTAGTAGCTGCCTTGGTTATCAGATCCACCACTGTGGTGGCACAGTGCTTGCATTCAAGTCACCCTTACTTTACTTCATAATGGCCCCGAAGCACAAGAGTCGTGATGCTGGCAATTGGGATATGACAAAGAGAAGCTGTAAAGTGCTTTCTTTAAGTGAAAAAGTGAAAGTTCTCAACTTAATGAGAGAAAAAAATTGTATTTTTTTCTGAGGTTGCTAAGATCCATGAAAAGAACGAATTTTCTATCCATGAAATTGTGAAGACGGAAGAAGAAATTCATGCACAGTATGTACAAGGCATGGTACTCTCTAAAGTTTCAGGCATCCACTGGAGGTCCTGGAATGTATCCCCAGGGGAGAAGGGGGACCACTGTATGCTAGCTCCTTGCTTATTGTCAGTCTCTCCCCCTAGGACATAAACTCCGAGAGGGCAGGACTTGTGACGACCTGGTCCCTACTCTCTCTTCAGTGTTTGGAACGGTAGCTGCTTGATAAATATTAATGAATCCATGAGTGAACTATCCCCAGGGGAGAAGGGGGACCACTGTATGCTAGCTCCTTGCTTATTGTCAGTCTCTCCCACTAGGACATAAACTCCGAGAGGGCAGGACTTGTGACGACCTGGTCCCTACTCTCTCTTCAGTGTTTGGAACGGTGGCTGCTTGATAAATATTAATGAATCCATGAGTGAATCGATGGATGAATGAATCAATCGATCACTCAGCCATCATGGGGCAGAGGCTCAAGAAGGCAGGGAGTTGAGTGAGGTGGTACCACAGGTCATTGTGGGGAGCAGCAATGGTGGACTGAATGGGGGTGGATGCAGCAGATGGGGTATCAGGTGCCTCCAACTCCACACCCCTAAGGTAGAGACCACCAGTCCGGCCACACAGAGCCCCACCTCACGTGATCCCTGAAGCTTGAGCATCCCAGGGTGGGCAAAGGGCACATGATCATAAAGGCCAGTGACTGGAACCTATCAACCAGCAGGATGCTCGGCCATCATGGCGGAGAGCCTTGCAAACCCAGAGCTCTTCACCTGGTCCCATAACATCTCTGGCAAAGCCAGGCCGGGGCAACTGTCCCCATTTTCCAACAAAGTTGAGGCTTACACGCAAACCTCTGTCTCCTGGCCCATTTACCACACACCGCCTCCCAGGAAGATGCTGCTGACAGCCTCTGTGATGCAAGGACAGTGGGGATTCCTTGGGGAGGGGGTGTGATGGGGTTACTCTCCCACAAACAGTGACACTGGCTCTGCCTTCGCCACCTCTGTGGCTTCTTTGAGGTCACACCCAGTTCTGCCTCTTATAGCTGAGTGATGGTGGGCAAATTATTGAACCTCCCTGTGCCTCAGTATCCTCATCTACAGGATGGGGTAACAGCAGTACCTGCCTTATGCAGTTGAGGTGTTAATACCTGTAAAGCACTCGTTACAGGGAGGGTGGCTGTTACCTGCATCAGAAGCCCAGGAGGCCTCGTAAATCTGCCCCAGCAATCAAACAAACTAAACGAGCCCTGGCCCGTGTGAACAGCTCAGATGGAAAGGCAATGGCAGCCCTCCCATACAACCCCCTCCTCTAAAACCATAATTAGTCCAATGTTCCCTGAAAATAGTGCAGCTGGACAACATAGACCATTCAGGGTTAAGGTGAATGGAGAGGCAGGGCTGGTCACATGCAATTACTCCTTAAGACTCAACAGTCACGGCCCTGGCTTCAGCAGGAGGCATAGAGGGGGTCAGAGCCTCAGATGTGTCTGCAGCAAAGACGAGAAGAGCCTCTGTCACATTCAAATGTAGCCACTGCCCCCCGCCCCAGGAATTTAACCTGCAGGTGACCCTGGGGGAGTCCAGGGGGAGGCTCAGATGATGGTGTGTGGAGGGACCAAAAACATGGGATTTGTCCTGCTCTGGAACATTAGGAGCTGTGAGCAGCCATTCAGTTGCTCAGCAAGCATTTAGCAGGCAGCCATGACTGTGTGCCAGGTGCCATGCTGGGCATTTTACTTACACTATCTCGTTTGATTCTCAACCTTGTGCAGCAGGCACCACGTTTCTCCCTTGTCCCATCTGTCACAACTAAAGCTCAGAGAGAGAAGTGACTTGTCCGAGGTCACGCAGACATTCTATAGCAACTCAGTTTTCTAACCCAGGTCTGGACTAGCCCAAAGCCCAAGCTGCCTACCTCAACCCCAGAAGTGGACAGGGTCCTAACAGCTTCGGAACCAGAGGGCCCATGGGCAACCCTCTCTGAAACAAGAAAGGACACAGCCATGGCTGGCCCCTGGCCTCAGCCTCATTTGCTGCTATTAATGGCATCCTGGAGCTGAGACAGAAGGTGGGGATGGAGGGGCGGAGGGGAGACAAACATCCAGCCCTGTAAGGGAGGCCTGAAGTGGAGCAAACGGCAGGCAGACGGGCCGGAGCCCAGCCCTGCCAGACTCCATCTGCTGAATCCAGACGCTCAGGAGCCCCAAGTCCCCGAGCCATGTTCCTTGTGTATCCGAAATAGCTGCAGACAGCAGGCTACAAACCCAGAGGATGCGTCAGCAGAAATGCTCATGGCACAGGCTTCGAGAGGAGGCTCAAGGTCAGAGCTCACACACGAGCAGGGCCTGCATGTCCTGGCCACCCCCCACACCCTGACCACAGCTGCCTGGACCCCCTCCCCCTGCACCTGCCAAGGTCAAAGCCCCACTGAAGGCTTAGACCTGTTGGCTCAATTCATCCTGCCAAGCAGGATCCTTCACCCACTCTATAGCTGAGTGAGGATCAGAGAGGGAAGGCCATCTGCCCAAGGTCACACAGCAAGGACAGGGCAGGATGCTGATTGCTATTTAATGCGCTGACTCCATATCCCAGACAAAAAGCCTGCTTCCCACAGAGCCAGGACACCTTCAGGGCCTGCTGCCACTGTCCCCTATCTCCTTCCTCTGAGTCTGTGGCAGTTCAGAAAACTCCCTTCCTTTCAGAGAAGAGAACTTCTCACTGCCCGAGTTGGCCCTATCAGGGCATAGATATCACAGAAGTCTTGTTTGGGGGAATTGTCAGGGGACAAAATGAAAGGAAATGACAGGGGACAGTTCCCAGTGCTGACCTGTGCCTGGTGGAGTCGGGATTCTGGAAATGGAGGCAGTAAGGCCTCACTTGGATGCCGTCAAGGCTCAGGTGCTGCCTGGGCGCCCAGGGCCACCTCAGCGAAATGAGGCCCCTCCCTGCCCTCCCCAGCCCAATTCCGGGCTTTCTAGGTCTTCCTCCCCTCATTACACTGGGAAGGCGTTTACATAAAGGTGCTATTTTCAGCTCTTTGTTCTCCCTGCTTCTTTGCTCTGATGTCAGACCAACAGGCACCCCCACCCCACCCCAAAACGTACCAGAGGCCTGAGGCTGGGTTGCCCTTCCCCCATTCTATATATGGGGAAACTGATGCACCGAGTCACAAAAGCTTCTGGAAGGTCAAAGTGGGGGCTAGATTTCTGCCTGGAGGGACTGCTGATGGAAAGGGAGAGAGGGGCAGACGGAGAGAGAGAGATCAGAGAGGGGAGAGTGAGAAAAAGAGAAAAAAGAGGAGGGACGGGGCAGCAGAAAAGAGAATGGGGAAAGTAACGGAGAGAAACAGAGGAATCAAAGGGAAGAGGAAAGTAGGGGGTGGTGGCACAGCCAGGTCTGGATGGGGGACAGAAGCTTGTCACCCCACAAAAGGCGGGGAGGGACAGCGACAGGGGCTGGGGAGAGCCAGCAAGTCCTGGCTCTCCTGGGGGGCAGTGGGGCTGCCCAGGGTGAAGCGGGGAGGTGAGAGGGCCAGAAGACTCATGGGACCAGACCCTAGGCTGACAGCCATGCTGGTGGGGACAACAGACCGTGAGACCCCCAACTTCTCCAAGCACGGGGTGGGGGTGGAACTCTGAAGGCTGAAGGGGAAGGTCAGAGGAGTGGACGGGGAGAGAAATGACCCTGTGAGCAGCGACTGGGACCCACACTGGCTGGTGTGGCTGAAACTGAAAGAATAGCTCCAATGCCAGGCCAGCTCTTTGCTTCTTTACCAGCTTGTCCACTCCTGTTACCATACTTGACCACCAAATCACAAAAGTAGAAGGGTCTCTGGGAAGCTTCTGCACGAAGCCCTCCTGAGATGGGGCGGGAATTGCTGCCTCGTCAGGATAGGGCCTGCGCCCTGGTGAACAGACAGCACCTCCTGCTTGGCAGACACCAGCTCCTGCATCTCTCTCACAATGGTCTTAGGAGAAGGAGGTCAGTAGAAAGACAGTGTGACCCAGAATCTCCAGAAGGGCAGGGCTGGAAGAACTCTTAGGACCAGGCTGGAAAGCAGGGCTCCGGGGTG